TCTCTCTCTCTCTCTCTCTCTCTCTCTCTCTCTCTCTCTCTCTCTCTCTCTCTCTCTCTCTCTCTCTCTCTCTCTCGCTTTCTCTCTCTCTTTCTCTCTCTCTCTCTCTCTCTCTCGCGCGCTCTGTCTTTATGTCTCTGTCTGTCTGTTCAGCTGTTGTTGCTGTTATTCATGGTGCCACCGTTGTTGCGAAACATTGTGGCCATCGAGGAGTTGCAGGCTGTGATGTCTTGTAGCGACTGATGATGAGCGCCACATGTCTTCAGAGGTGGCCGAGTCCGAGGTTGGTGTCATGAGGAGGCTTGAAGGTCTTCAGAGGTGTGTTGTTGGTGGTTGCACCTGCAAGTACGCAACAGCATGGCGGATGAGGTCGGCATGGAATGCGGGGAATGGTGGGAGGGGGAGGTGTGTTTGGTGGTGGTGGAGATGCATGAGGTTGTTGAGGTAATCCCAGGTGCGGGGATGGCGGGGGATGTTGTACATGGGGAAGGTGTGGCGGGAAGCAAGGAGGTTGTGGATGGTGGCGGTGGCGTGAAGAGGTCCCCAAGGTTCGGACGCCACCATTGTGGGTCGGTATTTGGTGTGCAAGGTTGGAGGTACGGTTGTGGGGGGGGGGGCTGAAGATGTGATGAATGTGTGGCGATGGTGTGCATCAGTGATGTGGTGGCATTGGTACTCAGGACGGCTCGGGCGGGGGAATGGGAGGTGGGTGTAGTCATCATTGATGATTCGGAGGAGGAAGGTTTTAGCTTGGCTGAATCTGGTATTTATGTAGGGAGAGGGAGGTGGGTGTGTTAGTGTGCGCGTGCGGTGTTGTTTGTATGCAGAGGAAAAATGTGTAAATATGAGGTGAATATGCAGAGTGGTCGGTTGTGAGGAAGTCTTGCCAGAGGATTTGGTCGATGATGTCTTCAATGTTATCTTTGTGAAGGAGTGGAATCCATGTGTCCCATCGGGGTGGTGGTTGAGGAGGTGGAATGGGCGTGCAAGGATGACATCAAAGTTAGTTTGTGAGAGTTGTTGTGATTGTTGTGTGTCGGTGGTTGGAGTGTGGAGTGAGAGTGCAGTTGTGGTCGGTTTGTTGTTTGTGGCGGTTGTGGAGGGAAGGGATGGATGTGTTATTGTGGCCGTTGTTGTGGGTGTTGTGGTCAGAGTGGTTGTGGCGGAGGTGAGGTGTCTTTGTGCAGTTGTGGATGGGTGTGCTGTCGATGTTGGAGTGGAGGGGGTGGTTGTTTGGATTGGAGTGGCGGTTGTGGACGTGAGGGATGGATGTGTCATTGTGGCTGATGTTGTAGGTGTTGTGGTAGTGGTGGCTGTGGTGGAGGTGAGGGGCGCTTGTGTCGTTGTAGATGGGTGTGTGGTTGATGTTGGAGCAGAGGGGGCGGATGCTTGTTTGGCTATGGAGGTCGATATCTTCGCAGGTTTGTTTTTTTTTGTCGGCGGCATGTCTTGATGTTGATCTACAAAGGCAAGGACGAACATGCGAAATGAGGAGTGATTGTGAGGGGTCGATGTCAGAAGATTTCTTTATAAACGATATCGTTTGTTTGGTTGTTAGGAGATGGCATAGAGAAGCGAATGTGGGATGGGTTGCCAACACGGGATGCGGCGACGTAGAGTTGGCCGTGGGCGAATGGTGGCTGGTGAAGGTCAATACCTGCATGGGTGATTGATTGGCCTTGAGATTTGTTGATAGTGATGGCGAATGCGGAGCGGATTGAAAATTGTCGTCTTTGTCAGGGGAAGGGGGTTGTGTGGTTGGCGAGGGTGAGGAGGATGTGCGGGAGCAAAACGGGTTGGAGGGTGGGGAGTGTGCGGCCATGAAGGAGTCTGTTGTTCGTGATGGAGTCGACAATAAGTCATGTACCGTTACAAAGGCCATTCCTGATTGCAATGTTTCGGAGGAGAATTGCAGGGGCGCCTTGTTTTAGTCAGAGCATGTGTGGAGGAAGGGATGCAATGTCGATTGTGTTTAGTACGTCAATAGAGATATCAGGGTATTGTTCGTTGGGCAGAAGGGAGTCGACATTGAGTGATGTAATTGTATCACTGGGAAATTGGTCGAGAATGATGAAGTTAAGAGTCACGACGGATTTCTTTTTGGGTGATAGTAGTAGGCGTTCAGCGAGCCACTGAGGGTTTTGAACATTAGTTTGAAGATCGGGGAATGTCCAGGCAATGAGGCGGAATTCCAAAATGGAGGCAGAGATTGGGTGGAAGGTGAATTGTTGTTGGTGTTGTGTTTGGAGGAGGTTGCAGTGTGCCATTGCCAAGTTCAAGAAACCATTGAGCATATTAATGCCCTTCAGGAGTGTTAATGCGGGTGAGAACACGCATGTTTTCAGATAGGAGGAACAGTTCGAAGTTGTGCCATAATGGTGATGCTTTGGCGGAAGTCGCCTGCAAGGACAATAATTTTACCACCAAAGGGCAAGTTGGAGGAGCAGATGTCACGAAGTGTTCGGTCAAGCACTTCGAGGTGGAATTTGTGTGTCATGGGTGCCTCGTCCCAGAGTATAATGATTGTCATGCGAATCAGGTCGGCGATAGCTGATTGCTTTGAAATATCAAGGGAGGATGTTGCAGTAGGAGTGAGAGGTGCTTTGAAGCGTGAGTGAAAAGTGCGGCTTCCGTTGAGGAGTGTTGCGGCAATACCATTGGATGCAACTGCAAGTGCTATGCGGTTCTCATTTCAGATGTAAGATAGGATGGTATTGAAGAGGAATGTTTTGCCAGTTCCTGCGGGGGCGTCGATGAAGAGGTATAGCGGTTGTGAATTGGTGGCTGCATTTATGACACGTTGGAAGATTGCATATTGCGAAGGACGGAGGAGCGGTAAATTTGTGGCAAGAGTTTGTTGAAGTGTTGGTTTGTCATAAGAGATTTCGTCTTCACTGATGCGTGAAATGTCATGTCTGTGAGGGCGTTGAGCTTGGAGGTCGGCTTCGCTGCGAGCGTTGTCATTGGGTGGCATGAGACCAATGTCTTGTAGTTGTTTACCTTCGCTTTGAAGACGATTTTCAATATCGATGAGGACCATTGTTTTGATTATTGAAAGTGGAGTTGCATGAGGTAGGAAATGTGTACGAAAGTCATCTGTCATTTGTTGCCAATGTGTTTCGAAGAGTGCAGCGGGATTAGCAGGGGCGCAGTGTAGCACGATGTGGATGAAAAGATCTCGGACCATTGGTGAAGAAGCCACTAATATTGCATCTTGAAGGACTGCATCGAATTGCGTGTTGTCGTTAAGGAGGCCTAGTGCACGGCATGCTGATTGATATGTAGGATGAGTTTCGTGATCAACTGTGCGCAAGTGTTCAAAGGATGTTGCGCCTCTAGAGTGTGGGGAGTGTAGGAGCATACGAAGGTAAAATGTATCACCGACATTAGGGTGTATAGTGTGCATTCGACCAATTGTGTTCACAGATTGACGTCGGAGGACCCATTGTTTTGTTTGTTTGTTGAATCAAAATCTTTTAATCATGTCTTTGTAGAGTGGTTTGTGGTCGTCAACAATGTCCATGTTTTGGAGGTTCCATTTGAACCATGCGGTTAGTTCGGTTTCGGGTGGTGGATTACGTATGATTTGGTTGAGTTGGTTTGGATGGAAGTAGACACGTTGACAATTTTTTGAGTGGACGGGTAATGCTGCAACAACTGGAAAACGTTCAGAGAGGGGAAATTCGAATATTCGCCAACATGCTTCAACATCACCTATTGTTCGCATGTCTTGGTAGATCTGGATTTCGTCATTTACGTGTGTCATTTTTCCAACCATGGCTCGATCGGGACCTTTCATTATGTATTCAAACGTGTATCGGTATGCTGCAGTGGAAGCACAGACCTCGATATTGAGATGACATCGGTAGTGGAGGAGTAAGAAGGGATTATATGGGACGACCCAAACGTTATTGATGTCATAATTTTGCCGGGAAGCGGTTTGACCGTTGTTGGCGGGTGATCGTCGACGATAGATGGGGTAGCCACTGTTATCGTCCCAGGTACTATGCTCGGAAAAAGGTTTAGGAAGATGATGTGCACAACGGTCATTTCACATGCATGGTGCGTGCATGTTGTGCTTGCCACAGGGGTTGTGGATCATCTTTGTTAACACGAGTTCTTTTAGGTTGGGGTTGGTGGGATTTCTGATGAAATGATGGAGTCAATGTTGTTAGATGTAGAAATTTTATGGCCGTCAACGAAAGTCACGACAATGTGTGCATGTGGAAACCCTTTTTTTTGGAATTAAATGACATATATGTAGGCTTTTGTGGGTCCAGATATATGTGCAGAGTGGATATCATGGATAAGTTGTCGAAGGTATCCTTTGAAAACACGTGTAAGGAGATCAGGTCTGTCAGATGGTTGTTGGTCCGGAAAGAGTTCATTGGTAACTTCAGGCCAGTGTGAGTTACATGTGATAGTGATGAAGAGGTCAGGTGGGCCAAATTATTGTACAGTTGCCATTGGATCTTGATATCGTCGGTGCATGTCACGCGGTCCGCCTGTGAATGTGCCTGGAAGAATTATACGTTGACCGATGTTTTGTGGATTGTTGTATTGCATGATGTGGTCGTGCAAGTTTTGGTACGATTTGGCACAGATTTCAGTTTGGTAAAGACGGTTGTAGAGAAGATGATCATTCTCTACTTTTGCGAAGGCCATGCATACGTATTCTTGGAAAAGGCGTGATGCGTGGAAAAACGTTGCACGTTCGGTGTTGCGAGTGTTGAGATGGAATGCATAGAATCCACGAGCGGTGATTCTTGGAATACGATGTCGAGTATCGTGACTTGGCCCTGAACTCCATCCATCCTTGCCCGAAGGGAACAAGAGAACGTAGTGCAGAGGGTCAAAGGCACGATTTATGTCATATATTTGAACAATGCCTCAATGGCGTCGGCGTATGACAATTTCACGGTTTGCAGGTTCATCAGTCATCAGCAAACAAAGTTTGCGAAGGCCCTTGGGCCGGTTGTACCGTCGTTCGTGTTCTCCTGGAGGTCGGACATCAGGGTTTCTGACAATGGGATGGTGTTGTATGAGTTCGCCCGGAAGCTCGGATACGGTGATAAAGTCGCAAACCCACACATTTGCGATGCTAAGCAGACGGTGCAGTTTGCGGAGAAGGCATTTGATTTGTTGGACAGTCGCAAGCGGCATATCAGGTGGGAGATCCATACCGTGAAGGTGTAGGAGGGTGACTCCGTGTTCATCTTGCGGATCGTACGCATAGAGTTATGCAAAAGCAAGGGGATGGTTGGTGTTAGGAATCAGAGGGCCAAGGTTATGGTGCAGGTGTCCTGCAATTCTAAGCATCCCAGGCCACGGCCCGGGAGGGGGTTATGCTTCCCGAACAACCTGGGAGGCAAGTGCGAGCGAATTGTTGAATTGGCGGGATCGCGATCTCAACAGCCTGCCGTCATGTGTATCGTTTTCCCACACTTGAAGTATTTGGGCGGCAGGACTGTCCTGTGGTGGATGTTGCCAAAGCAGGGGTTGAACTTGGCCTTGTCTACAACATAGGGTTGTCCATTGATGTTCATGTGGCCATTTGTGTGCAAAACAGTATGCGCAAGGAGTTCTTGCACCGAGGGAAGCGAGTTGAACAATGATGTGTTGCATGAGGAGGAGTGATGTGTACAGTCGACCGTTGTTAGCTCGCGGAGAAATGTGATCGAGGTGTGCTCTTCTATAGCGGCTTTGGGGTTGCGCGTCGGTTGCACGGGGTGCAGTGTTTTGAGCATTGGTGGTTTCAGCTGAATAGAGGGGGGTTGTGTTGCGGGAAACAGAACAGAACAGAGAAAAAAGCAGGGAAAACAGTGTGTTGTGGTTTAGAAAAGATAGATGAGATCTGAAAAGAGTGTGCATGACAATAACGTTGCAAATAGCATGTGATTTGTTTGTTTACTTTTTCCATTTTTTCCTTTTTTTTTTTTTGAGATGTCCGAACATTTCGCGATTTGATGTAATCACATTGGGTGTTTTATTTTGTCCGTGTTTTGTTTGGTGCATGCGGCACACGGTGTTTTCGAGGGAAAAAAAAACCCCTTCAAGAATGGATGTGTTTCTTTTTGTTTCTCTGTGTTGTGCTCTGTTTTTGTTTGTCTATCATAGATACTGAGATAGGGAGATGGAGAGGAAGAGAGAGAGAGAGAGTCTGTGACATATGTTGGGCAGAGGTTAAACCCCGTTGTGGTCATGGCAGCTGTATTTTTTGGATGAGCAAAATGAAATGAATCTTCTGGTAAGTCTGTAACTCGGTGGCTGTGGTGAAGGTAACTCGAGTCTGTGGGCGGGTATAACGACGGGGAGGAAGGTAGGGGAGGGGAGGCGGAAGGATTACGAAGATTTAACAGGCAGTGATCAAAGTTATTACTGCAAGCCAAAGCTTTATCAAAGAATGAAAAGGGAGCACGGCGAGAGGTGAAGGAGAAGAGAAGAACAGTCAGCAGAGATTGGTGATCTGTTGAGAGAGAGAGAAACGCTGAGAGAGAGAGAGAGAGAGAGCTGTCTTATACACATCTAGATGTGTATAAGAGACAGGTGTGTGTGTGTGTGTGTGTGTGTGTGTGTGTGATAGATAGATAGATAGATAGATAGATAGATAGATAGATAGATAGATAGATAGATAGATAGATAGATAGAGGGAGAGGGAGAGAGAGAGAGGCGGTGACATACACGGAGGGCCGCAACAAACTCGTCGCCCCTCTCTGCTTGCCGCGGCCCTCCGTGTATGTCGCCACCTCTCTCTCTCTCTCTCTTTCTCTCTCTCTCTATCTATCTATCTATCCATATATATATATATATTATATATATATATATTATATATATATATATATATATATATATATATGGGCCTCGTTAGACACTCCTTACGAGTTCCTTGAGCCACAAGGAAATCTCCTTGTGTTTTTAGGGGAATTTGCGGCGTCAATCCACTCATCCTTGGGGACCTCCCCTGAGGATGTTTCCTTGTGGCTTACCCGCGGCCGTTTTCATACGTAAATTAGTGGCCGCGGGATTGGTCGTCCTTGGTCGAGCGTCTTTTGTCCGTGTGGAGGCGGCGTGGTCCAGCGACGTGAGGCGGGAAACGGCATACGGCGGGCGACGCGAAAAGAAATTTAACCCCAAGGGCGTGGGCATTTGAAATTCGAAATTCGAATGACTGCTGAGACGACGACGACGACGTGTGGCTGGCGACGAGAGGACGGCGTGCTGCGGAAAGGGGCTCAGCGGCGGCGGAGGTTCCGTCCCAAGGCCGTTGCGACTGCGCGAGCAGCATGTGGTGCGTCCGTTGTCGTGGACCTTTGCACACGTCGACTGCGCCTTGCTCCTCGTTTGGGACTATAAGCATAGAAAAGGGGCCACCTTTCGATGGACGTCTTCGACTTCTTTGTTGGGTGTGGAAGGATGACACAGACGACAGCGGAGCGACGGGTCCGTGTCCACGTCGCGGCTATGGAGGGCGACGGAGAGGGTAGACGTGATACGTTGACGCCTCGTGAGCTGCAGGCCGTGGCGGCGGCCGCGTCCAAGATCGTTCCTCGATGTCAGCAGGAGAGGGCGCTGGGGTGATTGAAGGAGCAGTTGCGCGCGCGTAGACGGAGGACATTGACGCAAGGTGCGGACGATGGAGCCGAATACGTGGCGACGTCGGAGACTGTTGTTCAACTGTGCTACACGTTGGGTTGCGGAGTGATTCCTCGTGCGACGCCCCGGTGGTGGGTGAAGCGTAGGACAGGAGGCACGTGGGAAGACCTAAGGCAATACGACACTGCGTTGCCGATTGCTTGCTCCGAAGGTTGTGGCTGCCGGTCCGCCGTTGGCCAGTCGTCAATCCATCCTGTCGGCTTTCTTGGAAGATCTCCTTCTGCGAGCCGCGACCAGGACGAGGCCGACGAAACATACGTGGAAGAAGACAACGACGAGAAGCAGCACGACGACGAGGAGCAGCAGAGGCAGCTTGTGCAACAGGTCGGCCATGTAAGGGCCGTTGAAAGGGCAACAAACTGACGTGAGCGGTCGACCGTCCAACGAACACGAGAAAGATCGGTGGAAGATTTGTGCTCCAACGTGCGAGGCGTGACAACAAACGAAGGAAACGATGATCTTCTACAATGAAACTGTCGTTGTCGAAAGCAGCGCCGGCTGGGAAAAGCATTCGAATTTCGGACCATTGTCGACGACCGCCCGCTGCAGCAGACCGCAGGACGCCAGCCGGCAAATCGCGTAGACGGACGGAGGCCTCACGCGGACGGTGACCGTTTGGAGATGTTGGGGCGCCGTGCAGATTTTGGAGGCAGGGATGCCCGTGCTCCCGTTCGCTGGACCACGTCTGGACCACCCTCGAACCAAAATTGTGCGTCGACGCATGCCTTCGCCGCTCCGAATTTCGCGCTTCCTCGTGCTCCGAGGGACCTCGGGAGGTCCCTTGGGGGTTAGGAAAAAATGGCTCTGGCCACAAGGACGCCACAAGGAAATTTCCTTGTGGTGTTTTCACATTTTTTTTTGAGAATCGTCCCCAAGGACAGGTGGAACGATAGTTTCCTTGTGGATTTCGGGTCCACAAGGAGTGTCTAACGAGGCCCTCTCTCTCTCTCTCTCTCTCTCTCTCTCTCTCCCTGCTGTCTTTTTTTTTTTGCCCGTTCTTTTCTGTGTTTTCTTTGTTTTTCGTATTTCATTTTTTTTTTCCCGTTCTAAATACCCTTTGTGTCATGCCCAGAGTACCGGGGCCCGGCATTCAAGCAGCGACCGGGGGCAAGGTCCCACTTGCACGGACTACGAGATCTCGGCCGTTGATCTTCGCTATCGACGGTCAATATCGCTTAATTCGTGCAAGTGGGACCTAGCCCCGGGCCTTCCCTTGGCCGACCCCCGAAGGTGTCGGCGCGTTAACGGGAAAGGCCCGCGTCCGATAGCTGGGCCAGGTACTGGTGGTTTAACGATGTCCCGAAGGACCTCGTATCACTTTCCTAATGTGTTTGGCTGCAACGACGTCCACACGTGAATGGATCTGAATGCAATCGTGTCCAGGGCTGAGCCAGCCTAGAAAAAGGTCCTACCGGTACCGGTAGTGTAAGTACGCATTGAGAGGCCAATCCCACCACACCGTTACCCCACCAAACCGGTAGTGTAAGTACGCATTGAGAGGCCAATCCCACCACACCGTTACCCCACCAAATGACCGATTGATTGACCGCGTACGTGTTCGAATATCTGGCCATCGGGCCATCGGGCCATCGGGCATCGGGTCATCGGCGCTACCGGGGAACAAGCGATGACATGACGCTATCGGACTGGCGACTGTATGACGCATTGCTGCGCCGCATAGCAGTCCGAAGCCCGACGCAGGCACCAGATGACGGTGGTCATCAATCAACGAGTGGTGTTGATGAATCACCGGGCGAGCTGGTAGTTCCACGTGGCTCATGTCTTGCAACTTAAGTTCTACAATTTTGCCCCCTTGATAGTCGATCCTATTTGATTTTTTTTTTTGTTCTTTCTTTTTTGATTTTTTTTGGGTTCTTTCTTTTTGAAGCCCAGGTTGTTGTAGAGCATGGATCCTAGGGATATGTCAGTCACCTTCGGTAGTCGGGCACTTATGTGTACGTAACTACTAACTAGTAAGCATTGTGCGAAATTTATTATATGTATAATAATAAAAAAAAAGAAAAAAATAAGAAAAAAATAGTATATGTATGTATTTTAATGATGTGAGTACGAGTACCCCCTGTAAATTGATTGATGTAAATAAATACATCATAGGGATCTCGTTCCAGGGAACGTTCAGAACTACTGCTGTACAGGCTGGCGGCGTCTGATTAACATAAGGAGAGGGGCGTCCAAGAAGATGATGTAGAAGAGAGAGAGAGAGAGAGAGAGAGAGAGAGAGAGAGAGAGAGAGAGAGAGAGAGAGAGAGAGAGAGAGAGAGAGAGAGAGAGAGATGAGCACAGGTGGGAAGCGATCGAGAGGGGGAAGGGGAGGGGGGGATGGCGGCGAAGGCAGAGCGGACAAGCGGCCTAAGCGCGCCAAGTCCAGGTATTATAGTGGTCCTCGAGATTACCATGCAACAGGGGTTCCTAAGGGGGTGGAGGGTTTTTTGATCAGCGTAGTTGGTGGGAAAGAGCAACCTGCGGGGAGGGAGGCCATCAACCTACTTGATGAATTCTGGGAGGCTTTAGGTGGGAAGGGAGAGGGAGAGCTTCCCCCATTTGTGTCTTCCTCCTCCCTCTCCCGACCGACCACCGCCACTGCTGCCTTCCCCCCCAGCAGCATGTCGACAGTTGCAAGCCGTAATGAAGCTGGCGTTGGAAGTCATCGCGGCGATGGCGGCGGCGGTGGCGGTCATGTTGAAAATGACGATGGCGGCGGCGGCGGTGGGGGGCATGTCAAGAAGGATGGAGAAAATGGCGATGGCGGCGGCGGCGGTGGGGGGCATGTCAAGAAGGATGGAGAAGATGGCGATGGCGGAGGGGGCGGCGGTCATCTTGAGAAGGATGGAGGAGATGGCGATGACGGAGGGGGCGGCGGTCATCTTAAGAAAGATGGAGGAGATGGCGATGGCGGCGGTCATGTCAAGGAGGATGGAGAAGATGGCGATGGTCGCGGTCATGAGAAGAAGGAGGGAGAAGATGATGATGGCGGCGGCGGTGGGCATGTCGCTAAAGATGGACAAGATGACGATGGCGGCGGCGGCCGGCATCTTGAAAAGGATGCGGAAGATGGCGATGGTGACAGCGGCGGCCGGCATGTCGAGAAGAAGGAAGCGCAAGATGCCGGCTATGGTGGCTGCGACGGGCATGTCAAAAAGGATGGAGAAGATGGCGATAGCGGCGGCGGCGGCGGCGATGGCGATGTCAAGATGGATGAGGAAGATGTACCTCTTGCTTCCGATGCGCGGGGAAGCGGGAAATGTCAAGAAATGATGGATATGAAGCCGAGCGCAAGTGATGTAGCAGGGGACGTCGAGCTGCCACGTGTGGCAATCATCAAGCAAGAAGCTGCGCCGACGTTGGATTTTAATGAGAATGAAAGCGGTGGCAACGACGACGATAGCGATGATGATGAAGAGGAGGAAGAAGAGGAGGAGAGTGATGATGAAGATGACCCCGCTGCCGCAGCCAACGATGATGATGATGATGATGATGATGATGACGATGAAGAACTGGTTAAGGTTGAAGACGAGAAAGGGCATGTGAGATGGGTGAGCAAGAGAAGGGCCGTGGAACTAGAGAAGCAAATGCGGTCCAGGAATGCAGGGGAAGGAGAGAGCGGGACCACCAAAGCTTCTGAACCTGGAACAGGAACAAGACCAGGTGCAGGGCGGGCTGGAACTATTGGAGTTGTGGACATTGATCAGATGCTACAGACCGAGATCGCCATCCTCAAAGACCCGAGTAAGGCGAGATTTAAAGCCATTGAAACGGGCTGTAAGGGGCTTGTGTTCATCCGGATGAAGAGGTCGGAGGATGAGAAGAGCTCGGGTACGCCTTCGCCTTGTGCAATTGTAGAGGCTGTGATGAAGACTGCAGCAGAGAGGAAAACGACAAAAACTAGGTACTGTCTCCGACTGCTTCCAGTCGAGATCACCTGCCGTGCGTCGCCGGAAGACGTAGTCAGGGCCGCGATCCCGCTCATCCTGCGCGAATTTCCTGCCGCTGCTACTGCTACTGCGGCCAGCGCAACTGAAGAGGCAGGATTAGGAGGAGGAGGAGGAGGAGATGGAGGAGGAGAAGGGGGAGGAGGAGGAGGAAGAGATGGGGGAGGAGAAGGAGGAGGAGAAGGAGGAGGAGAGGTGGAATTGAAGCAGAAGGGGTTTAAGTATGCCATTGTATATGAGGCGAGAGCGAATGACGGGTTGGACAGGATGTCCTTCATAACTGGCTTAGCCGCCGTGGTGCCAAAGGAGCACACAGTCAATCTTTCCAATCCGGACAAGATCATTCTTGTTGAAGTGCTGAAGAGAACTTGTGGCATTGCTATCGTCAAGGATTTCAAGAAATATGCTAAGTATAATCTCCGCGTGGTGGCATCTGATGTGGCAGAGGCAGAGCGGTCGTCTGGCATTGGGAGGAGAGAGGGGGGGGGAGGTGTAGGCGGTGGCGGTGGTGAAGGACGCGGAGGAAGAGGAAGGAAAGGAAGGGGAGGGAGAGGAGAGAGAGGAGGGAGGGGAGAGAGAGGAGGGAGGGGAGGGAGGGGAGGGGGCGGAGGAAAAGGAGAGGGAGGAGGGCGAGCCGAAGGAGAAAGCAATGGACAGACAAAAAAGGAGGAAGCAGGTGGGGAAGTGGAAGAAGGGATGGTAATCAGGTAGATACGATCCGTCTGGGGATCTGGCTGCGGGAGTGACGTCAACCGAAAATAGCGAAGGGGTTAGAGTCAGAATGGGGGAAGGAATAGGGGGGGGCGGGGGGGGGGGACGAGGATGATGAACAAGGAGGGGGTGCAGACTAAGGGCCTCACTCAACTACTCAGCAGTTGATACGTATGTGGACCTTTTTATGTACCATGTGCATTTGGACTGCCCGAACATTTGGAATGTAGTAGAACCACTGACACCCACTGTCAGCTGCACAGACACGTTGAGAAGTGTTGTGCAGTGGAGCGAGGCCTTGATTGAGATGGAATCGTTGGCATTGACTGCTGAGAGCCTTGATTGAGATGGAATCGTTGGCATTGGCTGCTGAGATCCAGGACTGTGCCACGTGGATCAAGGAGAAGGGGAGGGGGGGAAAGAGTAACGAGGCCGGAGGAATGGTGGTAGCTGAGACGGGGAAGGAAGCAGGAGTGGGAAAGAGCAAGGAGGACAATGGGGCTAATTGAGAGATGGGTGGAGACACTGGCAGTGGCTGGCGAGAGCCAGAAGTGTGCCACGTGGAAGAAGCTGAAATGGCAGTGATAACGGTTGGATCCATGTCTGACCGAGGGTTTGAACTGGTAACCTCTGAAGTGTCTGAGAAGGATGTGCCACGTGGAAGAAGCTGAAACTGCAGTGATAATGGTGGGATCCGCGTCTGAATGGGGGTTTGAACTAGTTACCTCTGAATTATGTGGGAAGGATCCATGCCTGAATGAGGGTTTGAGCTGGTTACCTCTGAAGTGTCGGGGAAGGATGTGCTACGTGGAAGAAGCGCAAAAAACAGCAGTGGTAATGGTCGGATCCGTGTCTGGTTGGGGGTTTGAACTGGTTACCTCTGAATTATCTGGGAAGGATCCATGTCTGAATGAGGGATTGAACTGGCTACCTCTGTCTGGGAACGATGTGCCACGTGGAAGAATCTGGGAAGGATCCATGTCTGACTGAGGGTTTGAACTGGTTACCTCTGTCTGGGAAGGATGTGCCACGTGGAAGAATCTGGGTAGGATCCATGTCTGAATGAGGGTTTGAACTGGTTACCTCTGTCTGGGAAGGATGTGCCACGTGGAAGAATCTGGGAAGGATCCATGTCTGAATGATGGTTTGAACTGGTTACCTCTGTCTGGGAACGATGTGCCACGTGGAAGAAGCGCAAAAAACAGCAGTGGTAATGGTCGGATCCGTGTCTGGTTGGGGGTTTGAACTGGTTACCTCTGAAGTGTCTGGGAAGTATTTGCCTGCACAACGCTTAGGTTGGCAGGGGCTGCATGCCGTTGCACTTTGTGCACGACTTCCAGGAGTTGCAGTTTCACTCTGTGGACAATCTCGTAGATTTTCTCTTGGTTCCCTCTCGTCTCGTTTTGAGAGATCTTTTTCCTCTTTTTTTTCGCTTTTGCAAAATAGACAGGTTGCTTGTCTTGATCGTTGACGATGTCTTTGTTTTTTTTTTGTTTTTTTTTTTCCAACCGACAATATCCAGTCCAGGAAGTAGAGGAAGAGTTTTTGTGTCTTCTCTGTTGGGCCTGTGTTGCCCGTGTATGGTCGCTGAATACACTCCTGGAATCGTGATCCCAGTGGTCAATAGTTCAAATCCTGTCCTGCTTGATTTGATAAGAAGCATCTTATCTCTGTTCTCTTCCTTCTTCCTCCTGCTTCAAACTCTTTTTTGGGAGTCCCTGTATGGTGTCTGAATGATCCATGGGTCCATGGCGACCCCTCGGGGACTCTGCACTGCCTACCCGGGACCATGACGAGCCCTCAGGGACTCTGCACTGCCTACCCAATGTGCACACCTACCCGGGACCATGGCGAGCCCTCGGGGACTGCACTACCTACCCGGGACCATGGCGAGCCCTCGGGGACCATGGCGAGCCCGCGGGGACCATGGTGAGCCCTCGGGGATTGCACTGCCTACCCGGGACCATGGTGAGCCCTCGGGGACTGCACTGCCTACCCGGGACCATGGCGAGCTCGGGGACCATGGTGAGCCCTCGGGGACTGCACTGCCTACCCGGGACCATGGCGAGCCCTCGGGGACTCTGCACTGCCTACCCGGGACCATGGTGAGCCCTCGGGGACCATGGTGAGCCCTCGGGGACTGCACTACCTACCGGGGGGGACTCTGCACTGCCTACCCGGGACCATGGCGAGCCCTCAGGTACCATGGTGAGCCCTCAGGGACTGCACTGCTTACCTGGGACCATGGCGAGCCCTCGGGAACTGCACTGCCTACCTGGGACCATGGCGAGGCCTCGAGGACCATGGCGAGCCCTCGGCGACTGCACTGCCTACCCTTTTTTGGCGGTTTATTGCTGTCCAAGGTGGAACGAGAAAGTGAAAAAAACACTTCGACAGGGTCAGTTGGTACACCTACGAACTGGTGAAATATAGACCTGTGTTCGAAATCCACTGGAAACAGATGAGCGAAAACAAAGTTGAATACACGTGGGACGTGGGGCCATCAAGTTGGAGATGATAAACCGGCACCTTTTTTTCCTTTGTTTCTTCTTTTTTTTTTTTTCCTTTGTTTCTTTTTTTTGTTTTTTGTTTTTGTTTCTTTTTTAATCCACCAGTTCACACGAGCCTAGGGTGAGGAAGCTACCTTGTCAGGCTTGCGAGCATTTCCTTTTTTTTTTTTTCTTTGTTTTTTTTCTTTTCTTTTCTTTTTTCTTTGTTTCTTTTTTTATCCACCAGTTCACACGAGCCTAGGGTGAGGAAGGTACCTTGCAAGGGTTGCGAGCATGCAACTGCGCCTTTTGATATGGCCTGCTGCTTTTGACACTGGCGCGGGCCTGGGTGACCCGAATTGAAATGTCCTTACCACATAGACTGGTAAGAGCACTACTTGGGTTTGTGTGAACTGACGGTCAAAGGGAAGAGAGAAAGATAACGTCTACATGAAGCTCAGTTGGCTAGGCACACAAGTGGCATTCAGCTCAGTTTGCGAGGCACACAAGTGGTATTCAGCTCAGTTCACGAGACACGCAAGCAGCATTCAGGAGGTCGTTCGTTCAGTCCCCACAGACCGCTACTTCGTGTTAACTGGTGGTTTAAACACACGGCCCCAGCCTTGCAGTCCGAAACTTGTCACCGCATAGAGATTCGCGTTAACTGGCGGCTTAAACCACTTGTACACGGACGGCCCCAAGTAAACCGCTTGTACACGGCCCGAGCCTTGCAGTCCGAAACTTGTCGCCACAAGGGACCGCCACTTAGATATTCGTGTCAACTGGCGGCTTAAACCACTTGTACACGGACGGCCCCAAGTAACCGCTTGTACACGCCCCCAGCCTTGCAGTCCGAAACTTGTTGCCACAAGAAAACGAGGCTGAAATGTCAGACGCTCTTGTCGCCACAAGAAAACGAGGCCGAAATGTCAAATGCTGGGCCTGCCGTTGATAAATTGGATTGACGGTCGCATTTTCATTTTGTGCTTCCAGAATTCAAGGTGTCAGGCCCGCGGCCCAAGTGCCCATGTACTGGCACATTAAACCACCAGTACATGCCTACATTGCGCGGCGCTGGCGCAGACCTTTTTGGAGTAGGTGACAAACAATTCTCCACAAGGTTGGGGCCATGTACTAGTGGTCGAAGGGAAGAGAGACTAGTGGTTCAAGGGAAGAGAGACAGGTGACGTCTACACGAAGCTCAGTTGGATAGAGGCGCACAAGTGGCATTCAGCTCAGTTGGCTAGGCATGCAAGTGGCATTTGGGACGTCGTCGGTTCAATCACCACTGACGGCTTGGGCACGTCAATGGTGCACTTGGGACTTTTTCGGAGAAGGCGACGAACAATTCTTCACCAGGCGGGGGCCATGTACTAGCAGTTCAAGGGAAGAGAGACAGATGATGTCTACACGAAGTTCAGTTGGATAGGCACACAAGTGGCATTCAGCTTAGTTGGCAAAGGCGTGTAAGTGGCATTCAGGACGTCTTTGGCTCAATAATCCCCACTGACCGCCCGGGCACGCTTCGTGCCAACCAACTGAGATGGTTGGCTTGCTCCCCTCACCTCCGATTCTAGTGTGGTTGGCTTGCTCCCCTCCCCTCCGATTCTAGTGTGGTTGGCTTGCTCCCCTCACCTCTGATTCCATCTTTCCCCTTCTTCTGCTGCTCTTTTCAGGCTGGTTCGGTTCGGAAGCTTCTCAGGAGGAGAGTCGCTGGGATCTTCCTTCCTGGGTTGTTTGCCCTCCTTCCAGACCGCCTACCCTGCTCCCAGTCATTCCTCCTTTTTCCTTCTACCGTTTTCACCCGAATAGAACGCCCGGTCATTATAGCTGCATTTGGCCCAACTTTCAGTCCAGATGCAGCGATAATGACCGGGCGTTCTATTCGGGTGAAGATGGTAGCTGTTACCTGCTTCACCCGTGGTCTCTGAGTTTGTGCCATTCCTCTCCTTCGTTTTCCAGTAGTCATCATCACTAGAGCTGGTATCTAAGATCCTCTTTTTTGGGGGGGTGAAAAGAGAGAGAGAGAGAGAGAGAGAGAGAGAGAGAGAGAGAGAGAGAGAGAGAGAGAGAGAGAGAGAGAGAGAGAGAGAGAGAGAGAGATTCTGGTGCGACCACTGGCTACTGCTGCTCATGTTCATCCCACTCCCATTGTCACTGCTACTGCAAAGACTGCTACTCCTACTACTGTCTTAACCCCAAAAAGGAAAAAGGAGTATGGATATCCTTTTAACTTACCTCTGAAAAACGGATTCGTAGTAATCGCTGTGTTATTTTCCAAACAGAACATATGTATGTTGTGTACGTAATGCTGAATTCGAAGACAATTTATGCATGGACATCCTATTCAATTTACCTCTGAAAAAATGAGCTCTCAGAAATTGCTGTTTTATTTTCTGAATAGAACATATGTATGTTGTGTTCGAACTTCGAACACAACGTATGCATGTTGTATTTGAATACCACGTACGTATGCTGTATTCGTATTCCAGGGTTGCAGCATTTCAATTTTTCAAACGACAAATAAAATTTTCGAAAATATGTTTAAATATCCTATATGTTATACAACATTGCAATGCAAACAAATTTTGCCTGAGGATAGTGTAGAAATTTGCAGCCAAAATGAAGAAAAAAATGAAAAGAAGGGAAATCATCCCGGAAATGTGTATATTTTTTTACAGCAGACTCAGAGCAGAGATAATTTTGATTTTTTAGTCAGGAAACATTCTTACTTGAAAAAATCCAGGAAAAAACTAGTGTCGAATGTTGTAATACAAACAACTGTTGCGTAAGGCTGTTGTTGAAATTCACAACCAGATTCTGCTGAAGTGCCTTGCACAGCCTCGTGTGGCGTGACAAATATGTAAGGGATGCGGGACCTGTCTTACCGTTTATAATGGAATCGTCACCCTGTTGAGGAGGGGGGGGAAGGGGAGGCAATCACAAACAAATTCTGGAAAAAAAAGAGAGTATTGCACAAGGATTTGGGCCCTCGCTGAGGCTTGCAGCCTTTTTGAGGCCACCGGACTTACAAGCGGGCCTGGCATATTGCCCGGAGGCCGGATATGTTGAGCCTGGTGGTCTCGACCAGGGTCTGCGACAGCCCAGTGGCTGTGCGACCAGGTCCTCCACGGCTGCTGCCCAGCTCCTGGCTTCCTTGTCAGACATAAGCTCTCGAGTGTAGAGTCTGTCGACCAATCAGAGCCCAGGAACAGAAAGGTCCACTCACATGGTTGGGATTGAGCAAGCAATTTGCCCCCAGGCCAGTATCTGAATTGGGCGTGGGTGCACATACATGGGCCCGGTGTGAAGCTACTGGGAACTCTGCCAGGAGGCAAAGGCAGCCTGCAGTAGGCGAACACTTGACATATAGGCAAATACCCGCCTACAGAGGAACATTCGGCCTCGTGCGCTCTTGGACATCAGGGTCGGGGTGCTATGTGTGCTGAGCTGGGGCGCTGGATGGTGGACATAGCACACACGGGCCCTGGCGTGCCGGCACGGAGTCTGCCGTAGCTGGGCCGAACTCACTTGAGTCCTGTGCGGACGGACGGTGGTCCTTGGGTGAAGGGGGCGACACGTAAGAAGGGACAGACAAGGGATGAGAGATAGTGAGGGGACATACCTGGTTGTCGCGGAGGTCTTCATGGGTGACATCTGTTGCACCGTCATAGTTGGTATGATAGTTTAGGTGTCGTGAGTCTGTGGATTGGGCGCCATGCGCCAGCTTGAAGAGCGACGTTGGAACCTTGCTGGTGGGGGGGGGAAAAGAGGGGCTGACATTGACAATTCCGTTCATTGCTTTGCTAAGTTTGCTCTTATTGGTGTTTAATTGTTGCATTCTGCTT